CTCTTTTCTTGGTGGGCACCGTGGGTAACTCCATCACGGCGTACACGCTGGTGCGGAAGAAGTCTCTGCAGAACCTGCAGAGCACTGTGCACTACCACCTGGCCAGCCTTGCCTTCTCTGACCTCCTCATCTTCCTCCTCTGCATGCCCATCGAGCTCTACAACTTCATCTGGGTCCATCACCCCTGGGCTTTTGGGGGGGCTGTCTGCAAGGGCTACTACTTCCTCCGGGATGCCTGCACCTATGCCACAGCACTCAACATCGCCAGCCTCAGCGTGGAGCGGTACATGGCCATCTGCCACCCCTTCAAAGCCAAGAGCATCATGTCCCGCAGCCGCACCAAGAAGTTCATCAGCTGTATCTGGATTGCCTCCTTCCTCCTTGCCATCCCCATGATCTTCACCATGGGGGAGATCTACGGCAAGGACCAGGATCCTGACTCCCTTATCTGTACCACCATCGTGGATGCCTCCACACTGAAGACGGTCATCCAGGTGAGGATCCCGGGGATCAGGCAGCCAAACTTTGGGGAGATGGACAGGGCAGGAGGCGGGAAGCAGCTTGGGAAGGGGAATATCCCGGGCAGGCAAGATTTGGAGGGGGTGTGGTCTTGGCTCCGCTTGTTGTTCACTATCCCCCACCCGCTCCTGCCCCACAGCGCTTGGCTGAGACCCTGCACTGGGGTAAATCCTGCATCAGGTACCCGGAGCTCCTCTCCCAGTCCCTGCACTGTCCCAGTCCATGATCCCCATGTGCCACAGACCAGGAAGGAGCTGGACCCCACTCAGCCGTGTGGCTGCTGTTTGGGACCGGAGTGCTCGGGTCCTCCCCAAATGTGACAGTTCATTGCTAGAAACCACACACATCTCCACCCTTTCTCTGCAACTTCTGCATCTCCTTTCCTTCTGGTGGAGAGCGGCCAGCAAGAGCAAGAGAAATAAAACCATCTCTTCCCCCTCTCCCAGTTTCTTAAGTTGATCCAGAGCCCATTTCCTCTGTGTAGCGACAAATCCTAATTTCAGAAAGTTTTGGAAACAAGGTGTAGCATAGGCATCTGAAAAGGAACTGCATCTTCAAAGCCAGAGGCTGGTATTTTTGCTGTTTTAAGGAAATCCATAGCTGGTTTAACTGACAGATCCCTCCTGACTTCAGAAATGCTTCACTGGTCTCCACACACTGCTGGATCTATTGCACCCACGTGTGGAAAGGGTTTCAGCACCAACACCCGCTGCACTCCAGTGCTCTGAGGGGTTGAGGTGTTTGTTTACTGGAGCATTAGGCTTGAAAAATGTAAGAGATGTGGAAGGAGAGACAGAAAGAGCAGGACACCAGTCTCCATAGTCCCTTTGCTGCCAGGCTCACATGTGACAGCTCCTCAGCCTTTTATTTTGAACATGAATTTCAGGTGAGTTTAATCGGCAGCCAATTAGAATTTAAAACTGCATGTGTAGGAAAGCCTTTGAGATGTTCTCACAGTTAAAGGGACAGAATTTGAAAGGAAACAGAGCAGAATCATTTCTCCCACTGAAAGCAAGTGAAGGTATGTGCATTTAGATATAAGCCCGGAGTCTGTAGATGTTTTGATGTGTCTCTTCAAGTTTCCCCCTGTACTGGTCCAGTAAACCAAAATCCAGCCCCCACAGAAGCCCTGGATTCCCTCTGCATCTTGTCTTGATACCCACATTTCATCTTGAGATGGTGAGGGCTGGATTTCTCCTGTAGGTACTTTGTAGATTTTGTCAGTGGCAGCCCAGTGCACTTAACCCAAATTCTCTGCTCTCTGAGGAGATGTGAGCCATCTGAGAACAATGTGGCTGAAATAGGTTATTTCCAGTCATCTTCCTCTTAGGGTTAAACTGATGCTCATTGTTACCATGATAGGGCTAAAAACAGAGGATTATTTCCTAGCCGTGTCTTCGGAGATTGCAGTTTAAACAATTCTCAACATATTTTACAGTCTTGCTATTATTCGGGTTATACCTTGTCCTGGTAGGCAAGTAAGAAGCAGGCAGACATGAATGCACATTATGTGAAGTTCACCTGTGGGCTTTTCCTCATGGTTTGTTTGGGGTTTTTTTTTTGTTTTTAATTTCATTATTTTACTTGTGAATGAATTTCAAAATAAAAAGCAGGAGGCAGCTGTTGAGGAAAACAAAAACCCAACCCTTCCATACAGTCCCTTCTCAGGGGATCTGGCTACCAAAGTCGATTTGCTAAGATAGGAAGGTTGTTTAATGGCTTCGCTCCATCCCTCTGAGCACAGGGAAGCAGCACACAACGTGATGCAGGGCCCTGGACTGGGGAAGGCTCCAGAGTGAATAAGCAAAGCAGCTGCAAGTCAGGTTTGAAGTGCATTAATGGAAACCATTGCACAGCGTGTGAGCGGGCATTCTCACGTTGTCAGCTGTGCAGAGGTTTGAAAAAAAGACAAATAATGGGAAGACCTGTGAAGGAAAGGGCAGTGGTAATGTGGAGAGTGACGTGCAGAGGTCTTGCTGGTCAGAAATCTGGAGCCCTGGTCTGTTGTGGATTCAAGTGGGTTTAGAGCAGGTCTTTGCATCTCTTTGCATTCATTTTCTGTCTTTAGATTAAGCAGAGCAATGATGCACTTGCTCAAGCTGGCAAATCACTTGTAATAAATCACTCGACATATTTCCTCTTTGGCAAAGTGTCTAAAGCAAATTGGGATTTTTTTTTTCTTTTTTTTTTTCTTTTTGGAAGCCATTAGTTCTCCAAGAGGTTTTATTTGTTGACTGATTGAAAGCCAGTCCCAGAAAAGAGCAATTGTAACCATTTATAGCCTCAGAGCCCAATGTGAGCTATGGTTCTGCTGGGATCATTGCAGGAGAACACTCCTCCCTGGACTGGAACCAGCTTCCTAAGATGAATATTTGATTGTATTAATTTAACATCTCTGATTTTGAAAAAAATTCCTCTGTATTTGCTTTGAATAGTGCAGTTTTAA